AGAGAGAGAGAGAGAGAGAGAGAGAGAGAGAGAGAGAGTCCTTTTTCTTTTCTACCCAAGACAGGGTTCTCTGTGTAGCCCTGGCTATTCTAGAACTCACTCTATAGACCAGACTGGCCTCAAACTCAAAGATCTGCCTGCCTCTGCCTCCCAAGTGCTGGGACTAAAGACATGTGCCACCACTGCCCAGCTTGAAAGAAAAACTTGTTAAATTGTATCTCTTAGGGCTAGCATATAGCATAGCTCAGTGGCAGATGATCTGTGCAGCATGAGAAAGGTCCCAGGCTTGACTCTGGACATTGTCAAAGCATCTTGGTCAACTTTCCTTTCTGATTGATTGTGATCCTCTGAACTCCCAGGCCACTCCACTCGTCTTAGTCTTCACTATGTAAGGATTCCATACTAGATACACGCACTTTTGTTTTACAACTAGATGGCAAGCCTCATGCTGGCGAGGACCTTGTACTCGATTCTTCTAACACGTTCATAGCGCATCATCATGGCGGCAGTGGACAGACACTTGTGATAGACTCAGCGCGATAAATGCCGATCCAGGAGAACTTTAGAGCTTATAGCAGGAATATCTTTCGGAGGTGCCTTGCTTAGTCTCCGAGTCAACACTGCATTTGAGAAACATGCATTTGGGCCCTGTGCTAAATAGTGTGGACAGAGAAGATGAGGGAGCCGTGTAACTAACTCACCCTCAGAGAGCTCACACTGTAAAGACAGAGGGACACTAGGAAACAGCTGCTGTAGTAAGAAGTGAGTGACAACCTGACATGGTTGTGCACATCTGTAATCCTAGTAACTGGGAAGAAAAGGTAGGAAAATCAGGTGTTCAAGGCTACCCTTTACAACATAGTAAGTTTGAGGCAAGCCTGGAGCTACATGAGACTGTCTCAAAAATTACAAAAACTAAAAATAAAACTAACTAAATAAAACAAAAAGCCCTAAGATGACAGAGGGAGTACCTATTCCTGAGACGAAAACTCAGCCACCTCTGACTGATGCCAATGGTCATGTTGTACTAAACTCCTGCAAGTTCCTATTCCCCATCCTTTTAATCTCCCAATAATACATTTCAGAATAGCCAAATCTCCAGCTACTTACCCTTGCTGCACAGGCTGTAACTGCAAGATCACTTGGGTTTTAGTGTCTTCAGGGTTCTCCCCTTCATTTCCTTCAGTGGGTACCACAACCACATCTCCCACTGGGACACTCACTTCCGCATTAGCCATCTTTCACATGAAGTCAGCTAGCCGGGACTGCTGTGAGAAACAAGAAGTGTGATTACTTCATCTTTGAAAGAAAGGGATGCCGAGATAACCAACAGTTCTGAGCGCCCCGGCATCACCATCCTCTGTAAAGAATGAGGACTGAGAGGGAGCTGACAGAAGCTGACACAGGCTCTTAGTATGCTTTCATAGTACATGTGACTCACCCTGTAGTTTGCCAGAGCCAACTCTACCAGACTCTCAGACCTAATGGTGCATCTCCTCTCCTCTTAAGTTAGAGACATCAAATTGGTAGCTTGGGATCACAGAACTGGGATTACACACAGCACTGAAATTAACAGCACTAGATTTAAGGTTTTTCTGTTGTTTCGGGTTTTCTTTGTTTTGTTTTTAAGACATAGTCTCACAAAGAAATGCTGTCCGACCTGGAACTCAATATGTGGACCAGGCTGGCCTCAAACTCAAAGATGAGCCTGCCTCTGTCTCCTGCTTCTGAGATCAAAAGCCTTTGTTTTCTTTTTGCGAAGGGAATATCAATAAGTAGTCCAGGCTGGCTTCAGATTGTTGATCCACCCACCTCTGCCTCCCAAGTGCTGGCATTACGAGCATGCACCACATCTGGCTTGTTTTTCTGTGGATCAATTTACAACATAGACTAGTTCCATCCCAAAGAGTGGGCCCTGAAAAGTATGAATTGTACCTATTTTAATACCAAGTAGCCATTACATATCAACTATATGACATTGCATACAGTACTATACTTTAAAAATATTCAGTATTAGCCGGGCGGTGGTGGCGCACGCCTTTAATCCCAGCACTCGGGAGGCAGAGGCAGGCGGATCTCTGTGAGTTCGAGGCCAGCCTGGTCTACAGAGTGAGATCCAGGAAAGGCGCAAAGCTACACAGAGAAACCCTGTCTCGAAAAACCAAAAAAAAAAAAAAAAAAAAAAAAAAAAAAAAAAAAAATATTCAGTATCTGAGTGTCAGCTGCACAGCTGTTAATAAATGTTGAATTCACTGTATAATCTCTAAGAACCTTTCTTTTCTTTCTTTCTTCCTCCCTTCCTTCCTTCCTTCCTTTTTCTTCCCTCCCTTCCTTAGACAAGGTTTCTCTGTGTAGTCCTGGAACTTGCTCTGTAGACCAGGCTGGGCTCAAACTCTGAGATCCTGCTGCTGGGATTAAAGACACAGACCACCACCAAGAGGCCAAGAACTTTTCTTTTTGAGACTAGGTCTCATTCTGAAGCCCAGCCTAGTCTCAAACTCAAAGCAATCCTTCTGCCTCAGCTTCAATGTGCTGGAATTACAGGCTGTGAGTCACCAAGCCTGGCTCTAAGAACTTTATGTTCTTGTTTATTTTTAGAGACGGAGTCTCAAATGGCTGACTTGGAACTTGCTATGGAGCTGAGAATGACCTTGAACTCCTGATTTTCCTGCTTCCACCAGGAGTGCTGGGACTAAGGTGTGTCCCTCCAGGAGGGTCACAGGAACGTCTCCGCTCCTCAGTGTGAATGGGGATGACGTCTGACAGCTCCTTGCAGAGCTACTGAGGAAACTACCAGCAAGTACCACGTGCTCCTTCAATCTGAAGTACTAACCCACTCTTTTTATTATTGTTGTTGTTTCTATGTTTTGTGCACATGCCACAGCACACGTGCAGAAGTCAGAGGACAACTTTCAGAAGTCAGTTCTGTCCCTCCACCACGAGATTCGGGTATCAAAATCAGGTCATCAGGCTTGCATGGCAAGCACTTGTCCCCATTGTCCCTAATCTTTATGAAAACACAGAGGGTCTCAGGATATCTTGCTGCTGTATGCCTTTAGAGTTCAGGAGAATTGATTTTTTTCAGTGCCAGGGACCCAACTCAAAGCCTCATGCATGGTGGGGAAGCGCTCTAACACTCAAGCTCACCCTGAGTTATGTCTGCAATCCTTTACATGTTACAGTTGAAAAGCATGGGGGCCAGGTGCTGTGAGTCACACCATAATCCCAACACTTGGGAGGCTGAAGCAGGAGATTATGGCGCATTTGAATGAATACAGCTTGAGCTACATAAATTGAAGGCCAGCCTGTCTTTAAAAAAAAAGGGGGGGGGGCTGGAGTGATGGCTCAGAGGTTAGGAGTACCGACTGCTCTTCCAGAGGTCCTGAGTTCAATTTCCAGCACCCACATGGTGGCTCACAACCATCTGTAATGAGAGCCGGCACACTCTTCTGTATATGTAATAAATAAATAAATCTTAAAAAAAAAAAAAAGTTACTGTAGAGAGTATAAGAAAAAACACTGAATTTACTAAATGAATATATGTGAACATGTGAAGGTGGGCAGGGGACAGCCGTGTTGATCACAGATGCAAACTGGAATATATAACTGGAGCCAGAGACTCAAGTCATCCCTCAGCTCTGCCAGTCTTGAAAACACACATATGTAGGCTAAAAAGATGGCTCAGTGGTTAAGAGCACTGGCTCCTCTTCCAGAGGTCCTGAGTTCAATTCCCAGAACCACATGGTGGCTCACAACCATCTGTAATGTGATCTGGTGTCCTCTTCTGGCATGTAGGCATACATGCAAAGAGAACACTGTTTACATAATTGGTTTTTTTGAGACAGGGTTTCTCTGTGTAGTTTTGGTACCTGTCCTGGATCTCGCTCTGTAGATCAGGCTGGCCTGGAACTCACAGAGATTGGCCTGGCCCTGCCTCCCGAGTGCTGGGATCAAATGTGTGTGCCACCACCTCCCAGCCTAAATAAATCTTTTTAAAAAAAAAAAAAAAAGAAAAGAAAATACACGTACGGAACGTGGAGCTCAAAGTGGACCTCACTGGCCTCGGAATACTCCAGTTTAGCTACAGCATTACTCCCCTACCATATCAGCCACTCACAGAACTCTCAACACTTGCCAATGGGCTTCCAGAGCTCCCAGCCGTTCTGTGCTCTAAGCTCTAAGCATCTTCGTCCCTAATGTTCACTCCTCCATGAAGCCATCACTACACTTGCTTTTCAGAATGTCCCCCTAAATGTGGCCTGTCACTCCCTCCTGGTCTTTACACACTGCCCTTCACTGCAGTTCCCCATGTGGACCTTGACAGCCACAGCTACCCTGCGTCCTCTTGTGGATTTGTTCTGTTGCTTCTGGGGACGGAACACAGGGCCGTGCACACATCAGCAAGTGTTTCACAACTGCACTATAATCCACAGCTCCTGGTTCCTTCATTCCTTCCTCTCTTGGTTTGTTTTTTGGTTTTGTTTTGTTTTCCTCTCTTGGTCTTTTGAAATAGTTTCAGTGTAGCCCTGGCTGTCTTGTACTTTGATCTGTAAAACAGAACCTAAGAGATGCCCCTGCCTCTGACTCCCAAGTGCTGGGATGAAGGGCGTGGACCACCACTGCCCTGTACTTAGGCACTGTTTTATCTAAACATCTTTGTGCCCCCCTCACTCTCCTCAACTTTGATGCTGATATGTTGATTCAATCACATAGTCAAATTTCTTCTTATCTGGCTTCTTAATCTCATTCAATTTTTTTTATGAATTCTATATCCCTGTATTTATCAGTCTCTACTACATTAAAACTGAACCATATTTCCTCAAACCTGCTCCTAGATTTCCTGTTTCCCTAAGTGATGCTATCTTCCGCCCGTTTTCAAAAAGAGGGAACTCAGAAGTTATTTTTGCCTCCTCTTTCTAAATCCAATCAGCCACAAAATCCTATCCAGTCTACCGCGTGTGTGTGTGTGTGTGTGTGTGTGTGTGTGTGTGTGTTCCTCACATACTCCATCTGTGCTGTCAAAATATATGTGGGCTGCCACACTGTTACCTGGGTTTTTTCAGCTACTTTCCCATATCCTAATCTTGGATTCCTCCAATTCATTCCCCACCATAGCAACCAAAGTAATCCTACTAAAGGCCACAGGTCACTTTCCCACTTAAAAAATGTCTTACTGTATTCCTGTTGCTGTGAAAATAAAGTGCAAACATTTTAGCATGGCCTCTAAAGCTTCCAGGTCAGCCCCCTTCCTCCCGGCTGGCACACTGTCACTGTTCTCCAGTTCTCAAATGTACAACCTTTCCTAGACTGAGCCTTTGAACTTGCTTCCTGTCCCTAGGATTCTTCCCTTCCTTTTGGGCTAGTCTCTGTCAACCCTCTGAAGCATCTTTCTTTGGAAAGGTCTTCCGGTGGCTTCCATCACTAGGTTTCAGCTTATGCTCTAGTTTCCCATCATGCGTTTCTTTCTTCCTTTCTTTCTTTCTTTCTTTTTTTTTTTTTTTTGGCTGTGGGGAGGGGGACTGTTGAGGATTGAGGTGAAGGCTCTTCTGCATAGCTTCAAGTTCAGGCTGTTTTGTTCCCACAGGTGTGGTTCTGCTGTGTTGACCAGGCTGGTCACCAACTCCTGGGTCAAAGAGAGCCTCCTGCCACAGCCTCCAGAGTAGTTGGAATTATACGTTACTAATTTTGGGGGTTACTTGGGGTGGCCTTGAAAATCACTATGTCATTAAGGATGATCTTTTTGTTTGTTTATTGAGACAGGGCTTCTCTGTGTAGCCCTGGCTATCCTGGAACTGGATTTGTAAACCAGGTTGGCCTCGAATTCGAGATCTGCCTGCCTCTGCCTTCTGGGTTTAAAGGCATGCGCCACTTCTTCCAGGCTTAAGGATGATCTTGAACTCCTGATCCTCCTGCCTTCACTTCTCAGATGTTATTACAAATGTATGCCACTGTGCCCAGCTTTGCAGTACAATTTAAGAAGAAATCCTGCCAGGCGGTGGTGGCACACACTTTTCGTCCCAGCATTCAGGAGGCAGAGGCAGGCGGATCTCTACAGAGCCAGTTCCAGGACAAGCAGAGATACAACAGAGAAAACCTGTCTCAAAAAAACAAAACAAAACAAAAAGAAATCCTGAGTTTGTTGCATGCTGAAATAGTAACCTCTTGAAAGTTTGAAGTAGGGCTAGAGAGATGTATCATCAGGTAAGAGCCCTTGTTGATCTTAGAGAGGACCCAGGTTGGATTCCCAGCACCCACATGGGGGCTCACAACCACCTTACCTTCAGTCCCAGAGGGTCTGATGCACTCCTGACCTCCCTAGGCACACATGTGGTACATATGCATACATGTAGGCAAAACACTAATAGTCATTTATATATATATATATTTGTTTTGTCTTGGTTTTTTTGAGACAGGGTCTCAGTATATAGCTTTGGCTAGCTTGAAATTCACTATATCAGGTTGGAGTAAACTAAAGTAAATCACCCCCATCCCCTACACACAGGATGTCTCTATGTAGCCCTGGCTATCCTGGAGCTATGTAGACCAGGCTGGCTTCAAACTCAGAGATCCACCTCCCTTTGCCTCCCTAGTGCTGGGATTAAATGCATGTACCACCACACCCGTCTAAGAAAGTAAACCTTATAAAATGAAACAAAACATGTTTTTAGTAACAGAGAAGAGAGTACACGCCAACATGGTGATTCATAATTCTTTAGTAAATGAACTTTAGCTTCAATCTCTCTCATTACCTTAAATATCGCATTTCTAGTGAGTAACCCCAAACCAACCCCAAACAGCAGACTACAGCAAAGTCATCTCTGTAAGCTGTGTACACAGAAAACTGCCCCTTGTTTATAACAACACAAACTCCTGAGACAAGGTGAGGGAGCTGGTCCCATGGGTGTTTCACAGAAGACACCTTGCAATATCCCTTGTGAAATCAGTGTGTGCTCTGTAACTCTATGAGAACATACAAAAACATGACAAATTTTTGTTAAAACGTAGTCAACTGATGTGGAAAGAAGTATGGCAAGGGGAGCACCAACAGCTCCGAGCAGAGGCCTGGCATGATGTGAGTTCAACCTGCAAAAAGAGAGCTGCTCTAGTTTGTTGCCCTTGCTTTGGGTTTTTGAGACAGGGTTTCATGCAGCCAAGGCTGGCCTCAAACTCACTACGTAGCAGAGGGTGACCCAAGCTCAGGAATTGAATGCAAGAATCCCACACTCAGTTACTTGGGGGTTCTTGTTTCTTTTGAGACAAGAGATAGTTAAGACTGGACTTGAATTTTCAATCCTCCTGGTTCAGCCTACAGAAAGCTGCGTTTCTAGACAGGTGCTAATGGGCTGCCGCTCTGTAGTTATTTTCAAGACCAAAAAAAAAAAAAAAAAACCTCTTGAAAGGTGCTTGCGCTGCAGGCCTGGTTACCTGAGTTACATCTCTAGGCCTCCTTCATATAAAAGTAAAGGAGACCCAATTCCATCAAGTCCTCTACCTCCATCCACATGCACACCATGGTACATGCACCCCTCCCAACATCATGCACACAGACTAAATTTAAAAATTTCAAAGTGAGCATGAAGCCAGGCATAGTGGGAAAGTCTGTAAACCAGCACTTGGGGAGAAGGGTCAGGGGTTCAAGGTCTCCCTCAGTTACATAAGAAGGTTGAGACTAGACTTTATGAAACCTTTGTCCCAAAAAAAAGGAGTGGTGCCTGGTGGGATGGATGCCTGGTGAGTCGGCTCAGCAGGTCAAAGTGCTTGTGGTCAAACATGGAAACCTGAGTTTCATCTTCAGGGTACACATGGTGGAAGGACAGACTCAAATCCTGTGTTGTCCTCTGACCTCCACAAGGACACTGTGGTACACAGATCCTGCCACACACATAGTTTTTTTTTTTTTGTTTGTTTGTTTTTTTGTTTTTGTTTTGAGACAGGGGCTTACTATGTAGCTCTGGCTGTGGAACTTACTCAGTAGACCAGGCTGGCCTCAAATGCAAAGACTTGCCTGCCTCTGCCTCCCACGTGCTGGGATTAAAGGCGTGAACCACCACCACCTGGCTTTTTTTTTTTTTTTTCCCCAACGGTCTCATTATATAGTCCTGGCTGTCCTCAAACTCACAGAAATCCACCTGCCTCAGCCTCCCTAACAATGCCAGGCTGTTGTGTATGTTTTTTGACACTGGGGCTCACTGTATCCCATGTTAGCTTTGAACTCACTATGGAGCCCAGGCTGGCCTTGAGCTTTTGGCAATCCTGTCTGAGCTGCTCAGGTGCTTGAATCATAGGTGAGGTCACACCAGGTTTTTGTGCTTTTTCTTCCTTGCCATCTCACCTTGTAGCCCTGGTTTGTCTGGAACTCGCTAGGTAGCCCAAAGATACACAGAGAAACCCTGTCTAGAAAGAAAAAAAAAAAGAAAGAAAAGAAAAAAAATGAACATAACCGCCTGCTCTGCCTCCTCATGCTGGGGTTAAAGGTGTAAACCATCACTGTTGGACGGAAAAAAAACCAAAAAACTCAAAACAAAACAAAAAAAATCTCCAAGATGCAACTTTATTATTTAAGAAAAAACTCATTAAATCCACCCCTTTGTTATGAACTTAATAGCTGAGCCAGAGTAACCTCAGATATAATGAACCCAAGGATTACAGAGAACCACTTTGCAGGAATTATCCAGAGGAAATGAAGTTCTATATAAATCAGATTGGAAACTTCTATGTAGGTGTTTGGAGGAATCAATGGATATGATTTTTAAAGTCATCTCTCAAGAGTTTAAGGAACCAAAAAACAGGGCCCAAACTAACCCAAAGACACTCAGGGGGACGCGGCTAATCAATGGACCTGATCAAGCACAGATGAAAAACAAGTTATTAAGACTGAAAAATTAAAAGCAGGCCCAAGCCCTCATGAAAACGTTCCCTAATACTAGCTAAGGCAATGGGAAGTCTCCAGACATGGAGGAAACCGCCACTTCCTGGTTCTCTTTGACACTGTGACAAGTCTCGCTTTGAGAGTTCCCTGCTCCTAGGACAGCCAAGCCCTCCTTCCTTCCTCTGATTCCTAGGTCAAGACCCTGGGGTAAGATTCTGCCCTCATTCCTCTTACCTCTCAATTAAAGGACACCTGGCCAATTCCTCTGTCATTTCTGAAAACCAGGGGTTCGCTAGGCCCGTCATTATCTTCTCACCACCCCTCATAACCATAGGTTTCCCCCTCTCCCGGAGCAGAGGACCACCCTGCTCTCCACCGCGCCCGCGGAGCTGCTCCATTCGGCGGCCCTCGGGCGGACCCCTCTGCTCCCCACTGCCCCTCTTTGGGAAGGGCGCCCCTTCCTCCCCTAGTCCTCGAAAGGACCTGCCTCCTTCTCCGCAGGTCCGGCGGCCCAGGCCTCTCCCCTCCGGCCCCGGCTGGCCCCTCACTCCCCACCCTCGACACACACACACACACACCCGCCCCAGCACGCCGCCCCCTTGCCCTGGGCGCGACCCAGGCCTGATCCAGCTCCTCCGCGGAAGGCCCGAGCTCCCAGATCCCCAGCCTTTGGGGTGGGGGGGGAGGACCCCGGCTCCCCCGGCCCCTCCGCGGGGACTTCCGGGCTCCTCGGCCCGGGGGCGCCGAGCCTCCCCCACCCCACCCCGCCCGGCACGCGGCTCGAGGG